TCTTATATATATATAATTATACATACAAGGACTAAATTAAAATTGCATGACACATATATGGACCAATAACAAAAATGGATTAAAAAAATATACTTAAACAAAAAACTTGTAACTACCAAGTCAACAACTATTAGCCACAACAGCAAGAGTAGAATGGCGTTATGACTGATCCAAATTTCAGGAACTATTTTTAAAATTTTTGCACTTGTGGGAACTTAATGAAAATTCTTTTACCCATAAGAACCAAGTTAAAATTGAGTGACATATAAGGATCAAGTTCATATTTTAACCTATTGTATTTTGTCCTTTATTATCTTTCTTATAGCTTATCACTTAAAAGAAAGTTTGGGATGCTTCATATTTTAATATGACAAAAAGGTTTTCTGCATGCTAAAGTAGTCAAATTATTGTTACTCTGATACATTATATTTGCTGAAGTTCATGTCTGAGAACTTGAAAATCTGGAAGCCTGTTTTCCACTATGTAAGCTTGGTTTACTTTGTTTACTTTTTGCATTAAAGCCGCACCATTGGAAATTTACTTGCTTTTATTGACACCTTGCAGCTAATTTACGTCGTTACTCCAGCTTTGAAGCACTCCAATCTGCTACAAGGTTGATTAAATACCACTTTTATTTAAAATAAAAAATAAAAATAAAAAATAAAAAAAACGAAGAAGAAGAAGAATTCAAGACTATTTTTAATGGCATGCATGGATATTGGTTCAGTTGTGAGTCTAATGTGAAAGTCTCTACACTTGAGTCTTGACTACAATTTTCTCTTTTAGAGATGATTAAAATTTAGGACAAAAGATACATTATCATATGTACTTTTGGTGCTATTCTTCAATTACAGTTGAAATTTTACCTCAATAATATGCATTTAAATTTAACACACACATCAATAATAAGCATTTATACATATTATGAGGTAAAATATCAATTCTGATTGGAGGACAATACCAACATAAGTATTATACTTAAGTTTTGTCCTGAAATTAATCTATCTATTCCTTATTGCTTTTGATTCCTCAACTAATCTACTTCGACAAATATCTACTCATATTGAGACAAATATACTGTTGTTTCCAAACTATTCATCCTTTTCGTTGCGCATATTTTCCCCCTTTGAAAACTGTAATATCTTCAAAAGCTCATGGAGACATTTTCCCTTCAGGACTATTCATGTAGATTTTGTAAGACTGGATCAAGATATATTATCTCCTCTTGCTGGAAAGAAGCAGCTTTATACATATGAGACAATGGATTTCTGGGAGCAAATTAAAACTCCAGGGTAGGGTTGCAGAGTATCTTAAAACTGCCTTAAACTTTAATATTGATCCAGGTTTTACTTATAGTATTCACTTTACATGAACAGAATGTCATTGAAATGCTCAGAACTGTATCTTGCTCAATTCCGGCATACTTCACCCTATCTTTTGGCCAGTGGAGATGGTAAAAAGAATGCTACAATTGTTGGTGATGTGTATATTCACCCATCAGCAAAAGTTCATCCGTCCGCGAAGGTAGTTGCATTGCCTTGCAAGATTGTAAATGCTATGCTTTTTTAGAGAAAAATTAGTTTAGCAGTAATACATTGATGCTTTTTCTGCTGTAAACTACTAGAGACTAAAAGTTAATTACCTACTGAAGTGCTGAGGACATAGATTACATAGATCTGTTCTTAAAAGGAAAAAAACTTTATTAGAATTTGACAATTTGTACAAAATTACCAAATACTTGTTTTATGGGTGCATTGATTCCATTATACAAATTTAGGAATTTATTTGTTAGAGAAGACTGTTTCATGGATAAATGATTATTGAAAGATTTTTATTCAGACTTTCAATTCACTGATTGAATGAACAGTGTATATTGCATAATTGCAATTATAAAAATGTTGTCTGTAAGTAAAATGAAAGCAAAATTGAGGAGAAAACCAAAATTTCTGTTTATATGGACCTGAGTAACTTGCATGAAAAATAAAATAAGTTTTTATTTTCTTTCTTGAACAGATTGGTCCCAATGTTTCTATCTCAGCAAATGTTCGTGTAGGTGCTGGCGTCAGGTTAAGCGGCTGTATCATCTTGGATGATGTTGAAATTATGGTAAAGGAACTGGAATCCTAGGCTTGTAATATTTACAATGTATAAACTAATATGTTTGTTCTTCTGCTGACAGGAAAATGCTGTAGTCAAAAACTCAATTGTTGGATGGAAGTCATCTCTTGGAAGATGGTCGCTTGTGCAGGCAAGTTCAGTAAAACTACAAATGCTAGAACGAATTTGACTTCTTTAAAGTGAGAAGATGCACCTTAAGATAAATTACACTCACAATTATTAATTAGAAAATCAATGGTTAAGAATTGTGACAAGATAAAATACATGTATATCAAAATCTAATGTTAATTACAATTTCAACCGATGAATTTTTAATTGGTAGTTATTATTGCTCTTTAATTATCTTCTAAAGTACATTCCTCTCATTATAGAAGAAGAGCTAAACCCCTAAAGAACATAAAGCAAAAATATACTAGAGGAACTTGAAACCAAAGGAAATGTTTCAACCATCAACATGTCAGAGACATTTGGAATTTTAATTGGCAATGGAAAACTTGTTCAATTCATCCTGTAATTGTAACCACTCAAGCTTACTGTGGTTGACTAATAGTGAATTGAATGGTTCAGGCTGAAGGTGACTACAACGCAAGGCTTGGCACAACCATTCTAGGTACATGAATATAGTTGTTTACCTGCTTCTGGTGGTATTTTCCAATCAAAATTAGAGTTTTACTTCAGAAATTTATGTTAACATTTAATACAAACTTTTATTACATAGATTACTGAGATGAAACTTTTATTTTGATTGAAAATAACACCATAACTACTTAACAGGTTATATCCAAGATTTGTCCTTTGTTTATTTCACATCAGTGGCATTTATCAGTAGTGACCCCTTTTCCTTTTTTCCCTTTGTTATAATGATCATTTAGGTGAAGCTGTAACGGTTGAAGATGAAGTAGTAGTGACCAGCTGCATTGTTCTTCCCAACAAGACCCTTAATGTCGGTGTGCAAGAAGAAATCATTTTATAATCTGTTTGACTTGAGTTTAACCGTTACTAATAAAAAAAGAGGGTTGAATCATATCTGTTATCCAATTTGTTTGATCTAGGATGATAAAGTTTAGTTTAGATACCTCCTCATACAAGAATGCCTGGGATTTTTGGCTTATACTATATATAGATATATTTTTCTCTTTCCAATTTTGTTTGATGTACACAAAGGAACCTGAGTTTAAATCACACTTCAGACAACCTTGTACGTGCTGGTAACAAAATAATATCTTGAATAGCTGTTTTTTTTCTTCTTATTATTATTGTTTATGTGAAAGCAAGGCCTACATTATTGCATCAAAACATCCCCAAAATTAGACTGAAGCAAACAGGTTGACTGATTTGACCATGAACCTAACCACTTGATATTGGCTAATACCTAAGGCAACTTATCAATTGTAAGTGTAACCATATGAAAAGCAATCACAAAACTCATAATAGTTACACATCAAGCATGAGAATTGAGAAATAATGGCTTTTGTCTTATTTTTTACCCAAACATACTATAAAACAAAACTCATCTCTACTTGGACATGAAGATTGAAAAGAAAAAAGCCCTGACTAATCTAATGAAAGGAAACTAATCATGAGATTTTCCTATCTCAACCCCCAATCATGAGTGTGACCTACTTGTTCATTACTAAGACCAAAGATTCTCACATCATTTTCACACACCTCACAAAGTTACGATTTTTTTACAAAGCTGGCTTCATGCAGCTTTTAATCTACCTAAGAACTCACATTATATACGAAAATGGCCCTCCTTCACTGTTCAAGTGGGAAGTCGGAGTTGGATAATCCAAATTCAAACATGAAATTTAAAATTTTAAAATAAAAAATTATATTTTAATTTTTAAATATTTATTTTAGTATTTTGAATGATAAGATTTAAAGAAAATTATGTTGTTATTTTATTAGAGATAAGAGTAATACACTTATATGTTAAAGTATACAATTTTATTATTTAATTAAATATCATTAAATAAATTATACTTCTTTTTTATAAATGTAAGTATTCTACTACCGCTCGGTTCTTCCCTTTATATGTTAAGTTGTGGAATTTTTTTTATATAAAGTTGCATAAGCAAAGTAAAATTTACCCAACTACATTACAATGTATCTACCTAAATAAACGGAAATAAATTTAGCTTTTTCGACCTGAATTCACACCTTTTTTTATAATATTTTTTTACCAAATCTGTTTAAAATTCTGTTGTTTAACCAAATAAAAAATTAGCGTTTTTTTAATAATAGTTATGATTATTAAATAAATAAATAATGAAATTTTATTATTTATTTAAGTCATAGTGAATTTCAATTTTAAAAGAAATATAATTTAAATGCAAATTACTACCAATTTGGATCGCTATCTAGGCTTCTCTCTATCTAATGGGAGACCACAACATAGGGACTTTCTTCATATTCTTTAGAAAATAAATTGGTGTTTGACTGCTTGGAAGTTGAAGCTTCTTAACAGAGCTGGGAAGTTGTGCTTAATTAAGTCAATAGTATCTTCTTTACCAGTTTACTCTATGCAGGTTAACTAGCTTCCTAGAAGCATATGTCCTAACTTGGAAAAGTCAATGAGAAGATTTCTTTGGGCGAGCAAGGATAAAGATCATTTCCAAGCCTTAGTTGGCTGGATTTGGTGATGACTGACAAAGGCGTTGGTGGGCTAGGCATCAAGGATCTACGTCTTATGAATTCAACCCTCCTGGGGAAACTAATCTGGTCCATGCTGCATGATCATGATAAACCATGGGTCTAGGTTTTCTCTAGTAAGTATTTAAAAGGGAATTATGTTCTGAATGCTAAAGCTCCGTCCTCCTCTTCACCTGCTTGGCGTAGCATTCTGCTTGCACTCCAAGAGCTCAGAGATGGTTTTTTTACCAAAGCTGAATGATGGTCATTCCTCTCTGTGGTATAAGGATTGGACGGGTCTGGGATGTCTTTGCAACTTGGTGGATTATGTACATATTAGTGATACTCAGATTAAGGTGCTTGATGTTTACACGGCTGATGGTTGGAACCTTAATTGCTTACATACTCAATTACCTTCTCAGCTTTTAGATCAACTCTCCTCATTCTTGGGTCCCTCTAATATTTTAGCTCAAGACTGTTTTGTGTGGTCTGCTAGCACCTCTGGTGTGTATTCCACACGATTTGCTTATGCTTGGCTGAAGGGGATTGCTAACGACGCGATATAGTGGAGGAAAGTTTGGAAGTCTAAATTTTTTAAGAAAATAAAATTTTTGTTGTGGCTGTTGCTTCACCAAGCTCTTCTAACTAACACTTTTAGGGACCGTTGTAACCTTCAAGACTCTCCATGTTGTTCAAGGTGTTCTGGTAACATTGAGACTATTCTTCATTGCATTCGTGACTATCCCCACTCTAAAGAGCTTTGGACTAGATTAGGTTTGACTCATATTAATGATTTTCGTATTCTTGGTCCTGTGGCATGGTTTTTTCAACAACTTTCAGTAGAGGATAACGAACTCAAAATGTTAACCATTTGGTGGGCTTGGCACTGGCGCAATAACATGATTTTGGATTCTTCTTGTTGGTCGGTGAATTATGTAGTCAGGTGTATCTATTTGGATGCTTTGAATCTTCATTTGTCACTCTCTTCAGATTTACAACTCACAACTAGCCTACTTCCTCTTGACTCGTCTATTGTTTACTTAAATGTTGATGGTTGTTGGTTCTTTGATCATTCTCGTTTAGGCTTTGGTGGTCTGATTCGTGATGTATCTGACTGTTGGTTAGTTGGTTTCTTCGGCAATTGTCCACTTGGTGATCCTTGTTTAGCTGAGCTATTGGCTGTTCTGGAAGGTCTCAAGATCGCACGGCATATGGGCTTTAAAATTATCCAATGTATGATTGACTCCATAGATATCGTGCAGTCTCTTCTTCATAGAGATAGAGCTTACCTACACTCTTATGCTTCTTACCTCCTTGATATTTTCTCCTTGGTAGATAAACCTTGGTCCGTGAATTTTCTTTGAATTGATAGAGGCCGCAATTGCAATGCAGATGCCTTGGCAAAGCTGGGGGCCTTGTCCTCCTCTATTTTTGAGTATTGGATGAGCCCTCCTCCATCTATACTCAAGTGGCTTCTATTAGATGTTGTTTCTTAGTTTTTTTTTTTGTCTTCTTATTGTCTTTTGTTCCCCTCACAAAAAAAAAATAAATTAAATGTTGTAGGAGGTCAATTTTGTAATTTAACAAATGAAGGAGGTTAGTATAATATTTACATTTCTCAAAAAAATGAGAGTGTAATTTATGTTAATTACATTAAGTTAAATAGACAAAATTTATCTAATCTTTATTATGATCCAGAGTTTATAAGAAATTATTGGTCTTTTTTTATGAAGCACTTTACAATTTTTAGGGTTTAGGATTTAGGCTTACAATTTTGTTAAAACATTAATTTTATTTTTTATGTTTTACCTCTATTAAATATTGTGAAAGTGTGTGTTTTTCTCTCACCTTTTAGACTCTTTAATTGTTATTTATCATTTTTATTGATATTAGTGCATAAACATTTATATGAAGTATTATCTTTACCATTCTCATGAAAATTTAATGATGAGTGCGAAGAGTAAAATTGATAAATTATGAATTTATTTTATAAATCCAATCAAATTAAATAACATAACTACTTATATTAGTCTTCTAATAAAATTAGAAAGAGTATATTTTAACATGTAAGTGTAATATTCTTATCTCTTATGAGATAATAATGTTATTTACCTTAAATTTTATAATTAAAATACTAAAAATAAATATTTAGAATTAAAATATAATTTTAAAAAATTAAAATCAAAATAAATAAAAATTAAAAAAGTTTCCTGTTTAGAATTCGGGTTGGGGACTCCAAATTCTACAAAGAATTTAAAGAAGTTGGATTAAAATTTAGTGGAGTGTATTAAATTAGGATTTTAAAAGACTTTTTTAGTTAAAAAAATTCCTGTGGATTTTAAAAGACTTTGCAGGACTTTTAAGACTTTGTAGGATTCTATAAGACTTTTAAGACTTTGTAGAATTCTATAAGACTTTAAATCAGGATTTTAATGAATTTTACGAGACTTTGTAGATTTTGTAGAATTTTCATGGATTTTTGACATATGATAAAATTTCAAAAAAAAATTCATACATTCAAATTTAAAAAGAGTCAAAGACAAAAATAATAAATAAAAACAACAATGCTAGATAAATAATAATATTAATAATTATCCATAATATCATATCCTCTTAAATAACATTCACCCACATATCCATAGTTATACTAGTCCTCCAAGCATTAGCATCTTCTCGCTCTTGCTCCTGAGTTTGAATAATAAGCTCAAAAGTATGATCTTCATTAACCGGTAATGTTGACGATGAAAGATCAAATACCTTGGTCATTATTAAAAACATGTAAAAATGAAAATAAAGAAACATAAGATAATTTTTTTATATAAAAAAATTAGTATATTCGATACTGAGACAATATTTAGATATATAATTTTTTTTATATAAACGCAAATATTTAGATACAGAGAAAATATTTATATATATATATATATATATATATATATATATATATTAGTATTTTATATATATTTTATATGATATTCT